GTTGCGATTAGGCTGTATGATTATCTCTATTACAAACATCTGCAATTAATATGTTCCAATCGAAAATCTATTTCAGGATTCCGGCTGCTATTGCATGAGATAGTGAATCTACTGTATTTTTCACTGACCGCAGGTGAGCTTACGAAATATTTTGCTCTTATGACCTCTCGACCGGTACAATGAAGCGAAAATTTGGTTGCTTTAGACCAACGTAACTGAAGCAATTTATAAATGGAAGAAATAGCTAGCAATTCTCGTGAAACCTTGTTGGAATAGATACATACATTGGGTTGTGTGGTAGCAGGCATGAGGTACATTTGAATTTGAAAGTCGGCATCCCAAGAAGTATAATTGGGTAGAAGAAGTTCTTTGGGAAAATGTTGTTTATTGAGTAAATTTTTGATACTGGCTCACCAGGTCGTCATCAGACGGATGGGAATCGTAGGAAACAGTTTCCCATCCGTCTGATGACGACCTGGTGAGCGAGTGTCGAAAATTCACTCAATAAACGACGTTTTTCCAAAGGACTTCTTCTACCGAATGAGTTACATTGTACATAATATGAAGACATAATTTATCCGAAAATTTTACAAAATGACTATATTACAGCGTAATTCTACCTGTCCTGCTTTATTTAGTCGTTTTTTGCATTAACAGGCTGCCTCTACAGTTAAAACTTACGTGTACCCAGAACGCAAGATTTTCCCTTTTTATGAATTTTTCCTTTTGCTAGAACAGCTGGTATTTCTAAACAATCTTATATTCCTTGGCAAATGGCAATATGCCCTATTTTGAAGAACGACCATTACTTTAATGCCATAAGACTTTGGAGGACGCAACGCAAACTACCTTTGTGCAACAGGGATGTCGTGAGACAAATCCCTAGATTTCATCAGATAGGCAATCCACTGTAGATACGAAAATCCGCAAAATGTAGCCATTTTTCTCTGTCCCGCCGTAAGCGAAAGCTTTCTGGACATTTTATATCTTCAGGTAAGAGTTAACGACTAGCTTAACTTGAAACAGAATGGGCAGAAGATTATAATTTTTAGCAAAATCATAGTATATATGCTGCCACTCTGTCGTACATTTATAATCATAGAACGGGGCCTAAAGGTAAACAAATATACCAAAACTGGTCAGATATACAAAGAAAATTAAGGCCTTTCATTTACAGCAGAAGGTGTCAGGGATATCAAAAAACCGCTCAGACTTTCCCATTTCGATCTTGATGCAACCTTCGAAAACGGTCAATTACGCTGATATTAGACGTCAAACTATCTAATTAAAGCGCTTTTTAAAAAGGTGACGTGTAACAGAAAGCGTTTTAATAAATCTAAGGTATATAAATCTGTGATTTTTGCTGTGGACGTTTATTTCTTCGGCAATGAATTAGCATGTTTAGGCAATTCTAAAACCGAGAAGGAGAGGACTCGATCGCTGGGACAATGATTTTATTCGCCCGACGTTTCGAGATCTGTTGCGGATTCCTCATCAGAGGCATATTTGGAGAGCAGTAGCAGACAAACAGACAGCTGAATAAGAAACAATACACCAATAATCACAATTTAGGGTAATGGGTTAAGAAATAGCTTATTTTGACGTTTTTGGTAAAAACACAGAAAAAAGTCTGTATTTAAGGACAATCGATTAAGGAAAACATTTAAAAATTATAAAGTGTTAATCGGCATTTTAAGAACGATCTGGACTTCATCGTAATCAAACTGTCGAAATATTTATAAAGAAATACGACATAAGGAAACTTCTCACAATTTAAACAAAACGGTATGAATTCTGGAACATGCACAACCGTAATCTTACATTTTAGACATAAACCAGCCTCTCCGTGTCAGGGCTGCAATCTATTTTTATCCCTGTCAATCCATATAAATTTTTTTACAACCATCAAAAAAATTGGCAGAAGGCAAAGAAGGATCTTTCCATGCAAGAAAAACCTAACTTTGTGCTGAATTATCCCATTGAGCAAACTCCTATAGACATTCTGGCCATCCCTAGGTCTGACAGAGTTAATACTCTTAAATACAGATGGACAGTCAATAAAGTACTGAAATTTTGTATTTGTACTTATTTTCTATTACTTTGCCGTTTTGGCAAAACTGATTTGTAGCCCGCCCCCTAGGTATCTATCCCCCCGCCCAACTGCTCAACGTATTTTGTGTTCAGACATTTAATTATTGGCTAGTGAGGTGAAATTAATGTGTAATTGTGGCGGAAGCCATCAAAAATATTAACTTAAGATTGTGTTTGTTTTGCTATGCTAAAATAGAACAAAATTCGATCAACATGAACTTCCGTTGCGCAGGTTACGAATGCAAATTAAGGGAAGTTCAACCTTATGTGGGCGGAATTTAACAAAAATGGAAATTCGTCCTCCAGTTGGTGGAATTAAAACGAAAAAATCCAAAGTCGGCCTACTGAACATGTAAAAGTAGTTTTTATTATAAGTCGATGGGGTTTTTGGAGCCTATATAATCAGTCCTGCCGCCGTTTTGTGCTCTCCTGCGCTAAAAAACGTTTATAGTTAACATTAGATCAGTTGCCTTTAATA